GGGGGGGGGGGAAGTCTCTGAGCGCATAACTTTGAGCCCATAATAGGTGTGTTTTCTTCAATTTGCCAGGTGCTTGAAAATGGGGACAATTCCAGTAACAGACTCGATTCTTCTCCATTAGTTGTGGAGAATGGGGAATTCGACCCTGTTGTCGACGCTTAAACCCTTTCATAACTTTTATTTTTCTCCCACCCATTCTTTCAAATTTTCTTCTTTCAAATAACACCTCTGTGTAAATAAATTGGGAATGTCCTATTACCGTTTGCCTGAACCCTCCTTTTTGTGTGCGCACTGTGCTGAAAGAATGCGACACCTCCCACATTTTCTCTCCCTTTATCACAATATTCCTCCTGATATTTTACAATTCCTGGAAGTAAAGGCGATTTTTAACTGTTCTGAAGTTGTTTTTTTGTGTTTGGACTGTTTTTATCTTCTTACCCTTAAATGATTGTGCTACATGATTTTAATGTCAACTTCTGCCTAAATGCTTTTTTTCTTGTAAAGCTGGTCAAATAGTGAGTTCGTGCAGTTGGAATGGTCAGGAAACTCTGTGGAAATGTTTCCATTTCAAGCTGATTGTGGCGCTCCATGCGGTCCTATTCGTGTATGGCGATGCCGAGTTGGTGGGGGAATGGATGTGTTCATCCATTTCGGAGCCAATGTGTGAACACATGCGTGTGTTTACTAATGACCTATTTGTGTATGTAGAGGATTGTTTAACAAGGCCAGTCTCCAGGAATGACGCTTGTTGGCGCAAGATGCACGCTGCTTCTTGTGGCCCTCCCACCAATGATGAAGCTGCTTTTTTGGTGAATTGATCGTGCGCACGCACCGGTGCGATGGTGACGTCGATGGTGTGTCATCGCTGTTTCTCATTCCCCATTCTACCCACAGGAGCATTCATCTCCTCCACTTTGGGCAAAACTCTACATATTGCTTGCATTTCTATTGCAAAAAAATGATCCGTCTGTTTTGAGTTTCGAATGTTGCGAATAGAGAGCTAAAATATGGCCTTTAACAAACGCTTGCTGGCAAGGTGTAAACTACCCATTATGCAATCATGATCTTTCTCCACTTTGTGGATGAAAGCTTTTCTGGAATCATTTGAGCACAAAATATGTGCAAACGGCACCACTCACTATGAATAACGTTGCAACGGTGCCATTGCACCTGCGAGAGCCGAGTCCGATTCAACGACCAATTGATTGCTGTGATGTAAAAAAGATAAATCTTTTAAATTAGTAATCATTGACTGTTCTTTTGAGTTTTTCGGTCTAGGACGTGCTGGATTCGGAGATCGAATGCGAGTTGGAGCAGTGATGAACCCAAACGGTAGATCAGACTTCAAAACTGAAACCTAACAATGGGTAATACTTGACTGTAATACCAAGCTTCCATAACCTGCACACCTTTGGCTTGTCCTCTCGCTTACAGAAAGTTGATTTCTGTGTTACCCAGTGTTTCTATTCCGAGTTTTGCTTTTAATGCAGTTTTAGGAGTGCATTGTCGTTGGAGTGGATTTGAAACCTAGAATAAATCGTGCAGGAAAATGACTTGATTCGTCAGTGGCCTTTGATTTGATTGAGCACACCTTTGAATGTCATGTTTTTCTCGCCGAGGTAAATTATCTTTTCCGCTGTGCTCGGGATGGTGGATGTTTAGTGCAAACACCTTCCATGGTGGTAGGGTATTAGACGACTGCTCCTTCAGGAAGGAGGTTAGTCTTATCGCAGGCGACCATTCTTTACATCTATATTCAAGCTCAATTGCATCTACTTTATTACAAATGAAACAGAAACATTCTAGTGTTCAAGACTTTGGTTAAGTAAATTACAACCTCATTCTTTTTTTTTTGCATTATAATGAATGAAATTTCGCAAGTCGGAGCGAACACTACGTTTCCATCAAAACAGAGAATGCTGTTTAATAGTGAGGATTTTAATTTCTGTTGGTTTTTGATCAACTTACAGTGGTGCTTTAAATTGGTAAACGGGCCCTTAATCCACCGCAATAGAATCATGATGTTTCCGGATAGTGGCTTGCCGGTTTTAACTTTAGTCCTTTTTGTACTAGTGTAGGTTCATACTACTTCCCTGAGGACTTTGCCAGCTTGAAATGTTTTGTCTAAATGTTGAAGGAATTGGTGGTTGTTGACAATACGCAGCAACACGGCCATCGGTAGGACCCCCAAATAGCCCATCACTGAAAGCATTAGGCTTAATATTGTGACGTTACGTGGCCCCTCTCTACTTTTGTTCTCTCATCCCTCCATATCATCCGTCACAACAATATCCGTGATGTAAGAAAAGCATCAGTAAATAGGCTGCACCTGCAAACGGGTTCATGTGGAATTAAGAAGATACACGATACCGTAGGTGATTACCTTGGGTCCGACGCTCTATTCTGTATTGGAAGATATGCTGTGAGAAAACTTGGATGTTTATTTCATCTGTCAATAGTTAGTTTTTCGACTATCGGCCAAGTGATGGGAAACAGTAGTTTCCTTCATGGATCTGAGTTCCCAACAGTGCTGTACAGGCCTTCCTATCCGTGTTCTTTCGCAAATGAAGAATTAGAGGAGGTAGTGTATTTACGCAATCGACATCCTTCACGCATCACGATGCACAGCTGCATTGTGGAATTCTTTTTCAAACGCTTCATAGCTAATAATGCTTTAGGTATTAGCGACCCTCCAGCAGCGTAACGAAGTGGTTGCCAACTTAGATGGCATTATTAAACCTGTCAACCGTAGCCACCGATTTTCCAATCGGAAAAACGTGTGCCTCTACTGTCACGCCAATACTTAGCGTTCATTACTCAAGACCAATGGAAATACCCCTGGTAGCTACCTAGCATCGCTTGGAGACCAGGTCCTCAATGGTAGTACATTGACGCAACTTTAAATACCCCGCTGCCACAACGCAGATGTAAATAGATAATTGAAACATTCCGAATGCACCTTAATAGGTTGTGGGTGAAAGGTTTTAAACTGGACCTATCACATAGTAATAATTGCTTCGGTAAGGGAGCCAAGGTATACATCTACTGCAACACCACGAATATTTCTGAATAGAGGCGATCAACAGATGAGAGGATAGTCTCGCATTCAGTTCATTTTACAAATGATTTCGGTTCCGGTGCCTTATGCATTTTACTTGTTCAGTTAAATTAAAACTACGTCATAGGCTGGATTAAGTACAAACAAAATAAACAGATCCATCCTCCAATAAATGCGGAGATCAAGCAACGCGCAGTATTTAAAGGCGAGAAGGTCAAAGTAAGGCTATGGCATAATAGATTCGAATCGCTACCGGTATGCGGGCTCGTCACAATCCACAGTTAGTAGCATCATCGTCTGGGTATGTCCAAACATCTCTACGCGTGGTCACGTCCTGATAACGAAATGCTAACATTGCATACTATGGCTTGCTATGGGTTCGGAAGCGATCCAGAATTTTGCCAAAATGAGGAGCAGTGGTTATTTTGCCAATTCAGCAGACTGTTTTTTTTTGTTGAAAAAAAGCAAAGAATTTTGACCTTATAAAATGAATATTGAAAACTTTGACTGCTGCTTTGAAATACAGTCGTAAATTCTCTTATTGTAAATTATTTTTTAAAGAGTAAAACACATGAAGGTACCACATAATCCCAATTTAGTGCTTGTTTAAAAAACCCTGTAGAGTTAGCTAATAAACATTCTTGGATTAATCCTTTAATTATGAAGGCAGAAGTTAAAGACCAGAAATGTGGGGCGGGGAGGGTCATGCTTGGTTATGTGACCGCATGATGCTTGGCGGTTACTTTAGTATTTGTTTGGCCCTTGTACACGTGGGCTATCTCTCGGGCCATGCTCAGGCTCCACTTGCACTGTCATCTTCGGAATACATGTATACAGCTGCACTTACTGCCTTCTTATTTTGGCTAGGAAGTCTCGGGACGCTACACTGGTGGCAGCGGAAAGCTAATCCGATATTTCCATTTCAACGAATTTTTAATCGAAGTGGGGTCTCTTTCTGCGGCTTGTTCTTCGTTGGTCGTTTGTTGAAAACGACATAGTGCCCGGGAAAATCTGCTGCCCAACAGACACCGCTGTCTTCCTGGCATCGGACGTTTGCGTTGTTAACCTTTGCCAATTAATCGACTAATTTCCGGAAAACAAGTCGACAAGCAATGTTTCGTTCGGATGATGAAATGCTTCAGTACCTACAAATCTTACAGTATCTGGAGATGTATGTTGCTTGTTCTTGGTGCTGATGTTCTGAGTTTGAGTGTCTATGAGCCTCATAATCTGTTGGAACTCAAAGTTGGGTTCCCTCGGTCGGAAATTCGGAAAACCTCCCTTTTCCCACCAAGAAGTTTATAATCCAACCAACAGACGAGACTACAAAGGAATTCTACATCTTGTGGAGGGAATCCAGAATTAATTATCGCATTCTGACATTGTGCATCGGCTATCATGAGCTATACATGCGTGGAAGGAAGTCTGACTGTATCGAAGTGCAATCGATGAAGAAAGAGGCGAAAGGGGACATGAATTGAAGGAGGCGCAGTTACCTTGGTGTCGGAGAATCCCTGAAGTCTTCACAACGAAAG